AGCAGCAAAAAAAAAAGCCACCTTAGTCGCAGCGTCGTGTAGTGATGTAGGATACAAGGAGCAGCTAAGTGTTTCGGATCCGCAGGGCTCTGGCAGTATTTATTGAACAGGTTTCCTTGTCTCTTAAAGAGAAACATTTCTTTATTTTATTCTTCATGCCTGGGAGAGACTTTACTAGCCTTTTTCATATGAAGGACTTTTCAGAAGTGGACTGTTTTATGACAAATCAGGAGCCAGTGTAGAAAGCTGACAATTTACGAAAAACCAGAAGGTGTGGATGGTGCTTCGCTATTCGCCTTCAAAGATGACAACGCATGTTTCCCCCATATATCTTCTTCCAACTGAAGTTCTGTTGTGTGATGATGAAACTGCGCTCTCCGCTGCATAACATGATTTATGACTCTCTTTAAACTTCTGCCGTAGAGATTCAGTGGTGGTTGTACTTTAGGATCAGTAAAGTGTAGACCGTTGTTTACGGTCAAATGCTAAAACCCCTGTGCCGTACTCTTGATGTTATTATACGGCACTCACTGGTCAGACACTACAGCTGTCCCAAGAACAATATTTCCTGATCAGCTGGAGAAGGGCTTTAACACCCCATCATTCCAGTAGAACGACGCGACACTCGTTGGTTCCTCGCTGGATACTCCCGGACCGTTTCAGATATAATGTCTTCGTACTCGAATCTCCGGTGTTTTCCCCAACATGAAGACAGGCGAAAGACATCTTTTAAGCTTAATTTAGATTCCTCGAAGAATATGCCCGTGTAGATACCGAGTTTCTTGCGACAGCCTTCTTTTGCACATGAAATATCTGTTCTTTTTCACTCAACTCACCTTGAACTTTGTCGCTAGAATCATATCTTTCCCACGTGAACAGAGGCGGGCAAAATAGGAGTTCAAAAGAAGTCATTCATTTTGAAAGTTGTCGTCTAGAAGGGCAAGCTTTTCATCAGTTGCTAGGATTTACAGGCATCAAAAAGTCCATCTCTAGGGCTATTTGTCAAACTGATTTCATTTTAGATAATCCGGATTTGTAAAGCACAAAGTGGATTATCATTAGCTGCTCGAAGTCAAAGTCAGAACTTGAATACTGTGGCGACTTCTTTCTCCTTAGAGTGGTACTGAGGAATTCAACTGCTTTGCAATTTTTCAAGACTTAAAACCAGGACCTGTTGCAAGAAAAGCTGAAACTTTGTCACTGTACCACAGCATCCTACAGTGTTGGTAGAAGTAGAAGCACGAAGGCAATAATGAGGAAAGAAAAGTTTTGCTATCCATTTTTGATATTTTTTTGTCCAGACGCAGCTAGTTGGAGAGCGACTTCTTACTGGAGAAAGCACCGGATTCGTTCGATGCCAAATAGAAATTTTTTATGCTTTTTAATGAAGTATATGGTACAGTCTCATACAAATGACTTGTTGACTAAAAAATATACCTGGAAACTGGAGAGGTTTCCATTTTCTGATGTTTATGTATTTAAAGAATATGAAGCGTACGGTACCAATTATTTCTGGTAAAATGTCTCTAATTCCTTCGTTGATGTTGAAAACAGGAAAAAAAGTTGAATCACAGTTATTATCGCGTCAGCACGTGCTTCTGGTCAAAGTATATCAAGTCCTTGAACTTTTCTTCTTTCAGTTTTTTTTTGTGAAAAAATGAATACAAAGTCAACAAAAAGTCATTTTTATGAGACGGTACCATATACTTTATTGGAAAGCACGAAAAATTTCTTTTTGGCATCAAACTAATCCGGTGCTTTTTCCAGTAAGGAGTCTCGTAAAAACGCTTTTCAACTAGCTGCGTTTAGACAAAAAATGTTAAAAATGGATAGCAAAACTTTTCTTTTTACACCATTGCCACCGTGCTTCTACTTCTACGTGCTTATATCCTGTCCATATCCGCTGCAGGTATTCAGTGAAATCGCTAGTTGATAGAATTGTTCAACGTTTAAACAATATTTTTTTTTGCTTTCAGTTTATAAGTGCAAAGTGCAGAAGGCAGCAAGGTATGCAGTAAGTAATTGAAATGAAGCATGAGCAAAAGTTACATCTTTCTGGCCTTTACAAAGAAAAGATTTTGCAAACTTACCTCTAAGGAATATTATTTGGTTTTAAATAACTGAGTTTTTTCGAAAGCGTGGAATGACAAAGCAATTGAAGAAATTAAACAGCTGTAACAGAACGGCAAGGGTCGAAATTGTAAATAAAGGATAAAGAAAAAAACTGAATCAAAAAAAGCCCCAAGATAGAATAAGTATTAACGTTTTAACCAGTTTGAGAAATGAGGAGTTGGAATATCGGGAAAAAGAAATAACCATGCTGTGATACCTGTTTTTTTCTCATACGTTTGATCTTACCGTTTCCACAGACTAATTGCATATTAATTGCATGTTCGAAGTTCCGTTAGATATTTGTAGAAGGAAGGTTAGTAAACGGCAAAAGGAACCGATAAAAAAGTAAATGTCAGAATTAATGAAGCTTCAAAATGGTGACTGGTTAGGGCGATCAGAAATAAGCTAGCTTCAGTTTCTTTTTGGTCCTTATAATCAGTCATCAAAATTTCCGGTCCCTTGTATAATTTTAAAGAATCAGAAAAACAAATATTTAAAAATTGAGAATGTGTTCCTCATGTGTTTCCGCAGAGGATGATAGATGTACTAATGTTCAGTTTGGTAAAATTGAGAACTTTGACAAACAAACAGTTACTGAACATAGGTGAAAGCAGTAGACATGAGGCAACATTAAAGTGGCAACGTACAAAATACTTAAGAAGAAAAGTGGAAGTAAATGTGAATAATGGAAAAAAAATAAAGAACGGGAAATGAAAAGAAAGTACAAGATGTAGAACGCTGATTGCTTCCTGTCTAAAAGTGTCAATACTCAGCGACTGGAAACTTTGGTAAAAGTGGTCGGAAGGAAGAAATTCAAGTTCACTGTTACACTTCTTTGGAAATAACTTTTCGATGTTGGCTTTCCTTGACAGTATAGTATAGAAAGATGTGAGCTGGTAAGAGGACTTTGCGCGTGCATAACGGTTACCACACGCAAAAAAAGCTTTTGCAGTTCTTAAACCTTCTTGAATTCATATGACGGCCAGATAAACTGCTTAAAGAAACCATTTGCTTTCTTAATGGTAAGCTAGTTGTCAACAAAATTTTAGCTAAACGCTTTTTTCTAAGTGAATTGAAGAGCACAAATTGCAAGAGCTAGATCTGGCACCATTACCTTAGCTATTACGAAGGTCGCATCACATGAAGCTTTTGGTTCAGGTGCTCAGCGTTGCGAACATCGTGGAAAATAGTAACTTCTGGCTTCACCTCACCTTGCTGCGACGAAAGATGTTGACTTCAAAGCAACTCTGAGGTAACGGTAAGTTGGTGTCCTAAAACCAATAACTCTGAAAAGGCCACAGAAATGTTGCACAAGTGAAACTTCCCTTCCCAGCAGCAAATGCATGCATCGGATGCGACATCACACTGATATTTCTCTCGAGGGGCAACAATTAAAGCTTTTTGACTGCTTTATCAAGTGCCAATAGCTCTAATTTTTATCATCGCTATTTAATCCTCTAACATCACTTTGGTACAACTTGTGCCAATACTGTTAAAAACATGCTTTTATCTCTCACAGTTTCTAGCACACTTTCCGGCTAACTATTTTGCATTTACTTAAAGTATTATATCATTATAGTGAGTCATTTCAACTTATTTATTAATACTTTGACATATTTGTCTACTTTTTTCAAGGTTGTGCAACCTTAAATTACTCCCGCAATCGCCTTTTGCCGAGATCGTTATCTTAAAGAGGAAGTGGAACCAACGAAAAGAGAATATTGTTTCGCAAGTTCGATAAACAGATTCAACTTTCTGCCAACGTTTCCTGGACAGCCATTTAATACTTATAAAACCACGGACTTCTCTTTAAAAAAAGTTTCAACGACGAGCTGTCCAACGAGACCATCATACGGCTGTAGTTTGCGATACTAAGCGTCCGAAATGGGTATGTCTGCAGTTGCAAACAAAAATGAACTGGCTGAGGATTTGTTTTATATTTTACGACAAAGTTTGGTTTCCCGCCTAAGGCTGTTTTCAGGGATACGCAAAATTCAGTGAAAAAAGGTATTACGTTTCCTCCTTGTTTTTTACCCCTCTTATAAACTTTTGAGTTCGAATTTCTTCCGTAATTATTAGTCTATAAAAACCAACTTTTTTATTTGTGCTAACATCTATTAAATGGCATACTTCTGTACTCACAACAGCATTTGTAATTCAATACGCTGAAAACTGCATTGTAGGTAGAGGTAAATATAAAAATTTACGAATATACATAAATACGGAAATTGGAATCTCATAAGAAACCCGATAATGGCAGAATCACAAATATTTACAGGTAGTTTTTACTACGACTGAATAGCACTAATTCAGCAGCCCTTAAAACCACTGAAACTTTGAGATATCAAATTACAATAGTAAGTGACCTTGCTGGTGACTGAAATTATAACGAACCAATGAGTTACGGATAAGAAATTCTTTCTTGCTCAATCACTTCACAATTTAGTGGTCTTTTTATAGCGGGATGTTGGATCACCCATCTTTATGAACGACTTCGCCATTCCTCTGCAACTACATTTTGAAAATTTCCTCAGATCTACTTCAGCTCTGCGCCCTATACATATTTCCGATAAGACTTTGTTGATGCAAAACTTCAATGAATTTTTGCCTAATTTAGTGTCTACGCTCTGTACTTGAGCAATATCAAGTCAAGCACATAACTTTACAGAGGAAAGACGCTTGCTAACTCTCACTTCCGTTCAGTGTACTCAAGCGAATCATCGCAACGTTCCTTATGCTACTATCAAAGTGCATTATCTCCAACCATTACTGAAAAAAAAAATGCGACTGACTAAGCGCCTGAAAATACTTCATACTTTTACATCTCAGTTTACTCGACGAAATGTTTCGGAGGCACATAGCGTACAAAAGCTACATAAGATCTGGCTTTATACACCGAACTGATGCATGTAATAATAAGTCCGGTGTATAAAGCCAGATCTCACATCAAAGTTAATTGACTTGCCACGAACGATGAGAAGTGCAGAAGCTTCAGCTCGACCAAGAAAATTTTCTGCTACGCATTTGTACAATCCTTCGTCAGTTTTCTTTACTTCAGTTATGTAAAAAGAGTCTTCATCGGGTTTTACATGGAGTCTCTTTTCCTCCGCAGCGTACATTGTTCCTCCCTGCTTTTGCCACTTGAGAACCGGTAACGGCCTACCTAAAATCCTTACAGAAACGAATAGCCTTATTTCGCAAAATTTAGCAAAACATATATAATTTTTAAACTGTGATTTCTGTCATTTAACTGTGTCATTCTTTCTAACAGTGCCCTTCCCCAACATAAAGAAGTACATCACTAATTAGCAATAATAGCCACATGTTTATTCACCTCTCGCTGCGCATCTGAAGGTGACTGTTGAGCCAATGTCTGCTGTAACGTTTTCTGGTAGAACAACTAGCACAGGTTCTTCAACAGTAGCGAATTTTATTCTGCAATGTATCATTCCATCAAAGTCTTTGTTAATAACTTTTTTAACTCACTAAGTTGCAGTGACGATTGTAAAACCAGCTTGGTTTTTGTGAGGAGCAGGAACAATACTCTCTGCAAAAACAAGTATTTCTTCTCCATTTCTTGATTTTACATTTTCAGTTCCTTCGCTCCCTTCCTGCAGAATTCCTCTCTGGAAACAGTTTCATCTGGGAATTGGGTAACAGGAAGTAGTGAGAACAAATTTAAAACGAAATGGAACTCCATTTCTTTTTAAATAGGAAATACCTTCATCTTATCCCCTTTCTTGTCTCATCTCCGCTTTCCATGCTTTTTCAATCCCTTATTTATCTTCTAGTGGTCCTCGTCAAAAATTCTTTTTTAAAATGTTTCCAGTAGGATAGCAAAAGTTTTTTTCACAAAAATCTTAATTCTATTATAAATCTAGAAGATCAAACTGAAAATAATTTTTCCTTTGATTGCTATTAATTAGAATTAGCTAAAAGAACATTGTTTTTGGTCTTATCGCTAGACCTACAAGATGTTTTCGGCTTTTTACCTGGGGGAGTGAACGGCTCCATAAGAATTCCTGGCTGAACAACGGTACTCTCCTTCATCATCAACACTTACATTTTTAAGTATAAGTTCAGAATACAAGTAGGTCCTAATAAAATCGTTTTGCAGCTCTAAAGTACGGGAATGAGTTAAACTGTGCTTAGTAAAATAAAATGTGGAAATAGCAATATATACCAACGATGTCTGCATAAAAATTCTCAACGCTTTGAGAGGCTAAAGATTTTTGTCCATTATGATACACATTCCATTCGATATTTAGGGGCGTAGCACCAGTAACATTGCATGTCAGCTTCTGAGTCTCACCTACCGTAGTTTTTATCAGTGTTTCTGAATGGTCCAGAAGCTGTGGGTGTGGCGGGAAATTATTCACGTACGGTGAATCTGTAGAATGGATATTAATCAAAGTAATCTTAATATATGACAGGTAAAGAACATATACTTGCAAAGTGTACCACATGTCAAAAAAGAGTCTTTTAGGTCAAAGAGATCTGTCCCATTGTTTTTTTTCGGGTAGCTGCATTTTATGCGTATTGCTGCTTGACTTATATTTGATAGCCGAATCCATTCATGAAACCATTTGATATTGCAGTCGCATACCATAGAAGATGTATTTATTATTCTAAAAGTAACAGTAATTTTGCTGATTTCTGCTTCAAATTGAGCTGAAGTCCAACAGATTTTTTAAATGATCTCTTCTTGTTAGACCTAAATCAAATGATGCTATCGAATATAAGTTTTACAACCAGTAAGAAGCACGCACAAGTTTCTTAAATCGTGTCCTTCGAAAGCGTTTTCTTCAATGACTGATATTGGATTCTGGTCGACATCCAAGGTTTCTATTCTGCCAATATGTTCAAACATCCGCACGGAAACTACGCTGATATCATTAGCAGCGATTGCCAACTCTTTCAGCGAAAGCTTGGACCCGTCAAAAGCCTCTCCATTCTCAAAAAATTCGTTCAGCAGATTCCCCGACAAATCTCTGAATCAAAAATAGAACGTGTATTCAAGCCACCGCCCAATGAGATCTATTCTCTTCTATAGCGAACTGGGGATCGTATTTGGAGAAACAAAAGAAGTGTGACATAACGAGATTAACTTACAAACGCAACAGTTGGTTAAGTCCCAAAAATGCATCTCCTGCCACGCTTCGAATTTGGTTGTGATTAAGGTACAAATATTTAAGCCTTTTTAAAATTTTAAATGTAGTAGGCACATAAGGAACGCGATTATGAGCCAGCGAAACCCATTCAAGCGTTGTTACTAGTGTCCACATTGAAGCCTCTCCATCGTCCAGCTCTTCAATGTTGTTATAGCTTAGGTCACTAAAATTTAATGGTAGTGAAGAAATTTTTAGTACTAAACTAAAATTACCAATACTGTAACGCTCTAAGCACTTAAAAATATTTTTTTGATGTTTTTGGCGTTTCGTTCAGTAGGTCCTCAAATAAAAACAATTCTCGACTTAACATTATCAAGAAAGTTTGAAAAAATAAGATATGCAAATATTTATTAGCAAAAAATAAGACCAGTTTCTTAAATAGCTACATTGTTAGTAGGGAGTTTAACCCAAATAGCCATCCTCCGATCTTCTCGATCCGGTTATGTGTTAAATTTAAAGTTTTTAGCTTGTTGACGTCCAGAAAAGTCCCATCACCAAAGGTTGTAATTAAACAGTGCGAGAGATCCAAATTTACTAGTCCCGTGAGCGGCCGAAATGTTAATGATTCGATCTGCATAAGTTGATTTCCTCTCAAATACCTGAATAGTGCTGAAGGCATTTCTAACAGTTCTGGAATAGTTGATCAAAAAAATGCTGATCAAATGCTCAAGTTCTCAGCGCGAGCAGTTATATATAATTAAGATTTTTTTGAAATTTTGAACATGATTACAAACATCTAAATCGTTCATGAAAATTTTTGAAAAATTTAAGAATATGTGAAGAAACAGATGAGTGTAATTGTTAGAATTGAAAATCCTACAAATTCTTCAGGTTTGTTAAACCAATAAAGGCGTCCCTGTGGATTGCAAATAGATTATTGTATGATAAATTTAAATTTGTCAAGGTAGGAAATGCAGCGAATGTATATGCCTCCAAAACCTCTATTAAATTTTCGCTGAGATCTCTAAAAAATAAATGAATTTTTGTAACCCAAAATCCCAAACAAACATTTCCTAGCAAATATATAAACCTGAAAAAGTAAAAGAAGCAATTCACAGCTTTTGAAAAGTAAATTCTTTACTGCAGCAATGTTACCAAACCATCGGTCGTTATCAAAGTAATCTAACTAACTTTAATTGGTCTTCAGCATTCACTTACAGAGTTTTAATATGATGGATTGTCGTGACAATATAATGAGTATCTGGAAGATGAACAATACCATTTCTTCTAAGATTTACACTTACAACACCGGAAAGTGATGAAAACTCATTGGTTGTCAGGTTTTCAATTCTGTTCTCACTCCTAAAAGGAGATGTCGTTTCAGCAAAACCATAATTTGCTGTCCATTTCAAAATAAATAACTAGTAAACCTACAGATCGAGACGCCGAAGGTTCCTAACCTGGCTAATGCATTTGGAGATATTTACCAGCCTGTTTGATCGCAAATTCCTTAAAATCCTTTGATGCTACATAAGAACTTAATTTTAGGTCCCATCAAAATGCATAAAAAGTTGTTAAGACTACTGGAAAGAAATGAAAACTGGATGAATATTCAGCAGTTTGACTGACAGGGAAGACTTACAGCAGTCGAAGCTTATTGTTTTTGATAATTACATTTTCTGGAATAAACTCCAAGTTGTTTTCACTCAAATCCCTGTAAAAATACGCAAAACACTGATGTGCTTAACAATCACACCGATTTATAAATGGGAACTGTTATGCAGTTGCAACTACATTTGAAACTGTAAAAATTTGATTGAAACAGCATATAGCGAAGTAAGAAGACTTACAAATTAAGTAAATTTGTAAGATTACTAATCGTATGTAAATCGAATTCAGTGAAATTAAGTTGCTGCAACTTCCTGAAAAGAGAAAGGTGGTTTGAAATATGAAGGTCAAGGGGTCTGTCAACTTTTCTTAAATTTCCCAGTAATATTTATCTAATACAAATTCAGCAGTTTCATAATCTTTTCTCTTTAACCTTTTTAAAGTCTAAGGAATAATAGTCAGTAGTTGACAAGGAAAAAAACACAGAAAAGCAAGCAAATTTGGTAACGTAAGCAAGTCAGACTATCAATAACGTACAAGCCTCGTAAACAGGTGCACTTAAAAGCTCTTAATAAACTGAGCTATAATCTTGCAGTAGTTGGAAAAAACTTTTAATTAATTAGTTTTAGTAATTCAACAATAATTTTAATTATATTAAATTTTGTTTCACCACTATTAATCTTTTACTGTACCAAGAATTTTTTCATCAGTGTGTATCATTCTTATGCTGAAAAATACATCGATATTACACAATTTAAAACGACCAGAAACAGATTTAACTGAGGTGACCTGTGAGTTGACCAAGAACTTCAGAAGCAGAAATAAGCAAATTTACAGATGGGTGGTTCGTTCGGAGAATCGCGATGGTGGCGTCAGACGACACAAAGTTTGTGAGCAGTCAATCCGACTGCTTTTGCACCGACATCCGCATGGACATACGATGGCGATACCGCAAACCCGATGTACATCCAACATCATCACGATAAAAGCCAAAATGCAGTAACTGCTGAGCAGCATTGTTACAGAAGAGTTCGGTATACGGAAAGCGTTGCTACTACTAAATTTTTCCAATGGATCATCAAATCCGACTTTCGGACTAAAAATTATCGAATATCGGTTTTAATTTCAGATGTCTGCCGTTAGTGGAGGTAGAAAGCAGACACCGATGTCAACAGTCGTTTTGAATTATTATTTCATCATACATCGAAACACTTCTCAGTCAGTAAGAAAAAGTTGCAGGTAAACCAAAAAAAGATCATACAGATGGAAGATAAATTTTTTTTTAAAATTTTGAATGACTTACAGTTTTAGCCATAGCTGTGTATTACAAAATGATTATTCTTCGCAACAGAAATGGAAAATTTTAGGGACTTGAGAAGGAGGAGGAGGGATTGCTGTTACAGATCTCTGTGCCTCGATAAATTACGTTGTCATGACAAACAATTTTTATAATGGCATCAAAAAAAAAAAAAAAAAAAAA